CCCTACCACCTTAAAATATCTCCACTTATCTACATCACATCTTATCTCATAATTAAAATACTCAACATCTACAAATTCACCTCCATGGTTGATAAAAACATGAACAAAATTATCTATTTTTTACCTAAAAGAAAAACTACTTATTCAGAACCAACATTTTTTTGAAATAACACCAACACAAATTCGTAAATCCCACAAAAATTCATACACTAAAAATCATACAACCATATAGCTACAACACAAATTCCTAAAACCTATAGAGAATCATACAACACTAATTAAAATTTTGAATAAGAACCAACTCATTATGGTGATCCGTATGAAAATTTAAAAATAAAAAGACCAACTCATTAAATTTGAAAAATAAATAGAGATTGATTTTGTGGTGAAGAATTCTATTTGTGCAAGATTGATTTTGTGGTGAAGAATTCTGTTTGTGCAATTTAGTCTTCACGTGTGTTTTTGTGTCTTAGGATTACTTGTGAGCCAAGCAATTATCCCTTAGATGATTGTATTGGACTAGTGTGATTTTGAGTTGTATGTTGGTTGTGTCACTCTAAGCTTTTAAGCACGAGTGTTGTGTCTCTTGATTGAAGCTGTGAAGCAAGATCAAGATTTGTTTGAAGTGTTTCTTCTTTTTAAATCTGTAACTTAATTGGTTGATCTCACTGCTGTGATTGAGAGGGAGTGAGTAGGAACTCAAGTCTAGAGTTAGATTGAAATTGCATTGGGTAGGTCTTAAATGAGGAGTGAAAACTGGTAGTTTGGCTCTGAATTAACACTGCTTATAGTGGATTTCCTCCCTGGCTTGGTAGCCCCCAGAGTAGGTGTGATTTTCACCGAACTGGGTAAACAATTCCTTGTGTTATTTACTGCTTTCTTTAAGTGTTTACTGCTTAGCTTAATAATCTGTTCAGGAGCGGATGTTATAACATCTGACATAACATCGATTGTCTGTTACTAGAATTTCAACTAGGCTGAGGTCAACTTGGTGCATGTTGATCTCGCGTACCATGTGTTTCCTGACCTTGTGTAGTCTGGTCTTGACTTTCTAGAGGTAGCGACTTAAAAGTTTCCTTGTTATGACCATTTTTCTTGCACCTATTGTGCTTAATATGCAAACTTGTCCTCCTCATTTTGTGATAAGTTCATTCAATTTATCCTTGCTTCAGGATCATTTTCTTTTTTTATCCTGCCTAGCATTTTTGGGAATACAGGTAGCTCCACATCATGATAGTTTATCCTTAATTTCCCATATGTTAGACCCACTAACAAGATAAATAACATGCTTGTATACCTCCTGATATTTATTTTTTTTAATACCAGGAATATAGTCCTCTAGCCTCATGTTATAGAAGATATGGCATGAACACATGAAAATGTTGTAAGTTGCCATTTCCTGCATGAGCAGATACGATCTTCCAAATTGAAAGAGAGTTTATCTCTTGGATTTTCAATGTGCCTTACTTCAAAAATATGCTAAGCATACATTCTGCAAAATGAGCAATACATATTGGTGAAAATCAGTGAATAAATAAAATTTAGTGAACAACAACAAAAATAATTAATAGTGAACAATTAGTGTTATACCTAACAATTCATAAGTTTGTGTATCCATTAACTCTCTCAATCCTAATCATGAAACAATACATATAGGTGAAAAAATAAGGAATATAATAATAAAACAAATTATGTAAAACATCAGTATAGTCAATGAATATAATACCTCTTTATGATATTAGGAAAAATAGCATCATCAATATAGTTTCCAAATTTCATTCTATTTGATGCACACCTTTCCATCATGTGCATTCTGATTTCTTTAAGCACAGTCACAATTGGCATAGCCCTTGCTTCAATTATGACACTATTAAAAGCCTTTGACTTGTTGTTCAATAACCTATCACACTTGGTGTATATCTTAAATAAAGACTTGCTTCGTAACCTTTGAGGCGTCTTTATCATATACTTAAAGGCTTCTTCATTCACACCTTTAATTTCTCCCATCATAATTTCCCAAGCTTGTGGATATGTTGACTTATCATGTTTCCTTATTATCTTTTTCAACTTTTTCCAAGAAATATCTTTCTAAAATTGTTGTATAGATGGCATACACAAAACATTTGTTCCATACTAAGTAAAAGCTCATACATGGCCGACAAAAGACCCTACCTATAAACACAATAGAGGTTAGTAACAAAACATCAAGAATATAAAATAGAAAACATGCTTAAAAATCAGACAATTACCTTTTGTTGATATGATATGAATGTATAGGTACGACATTGAGTTCTACCTCCAAAATCTTCAATGAGTTGCTCCAAAAATCAGGTCCAATTATCCTTTGTTTCACCTTCAACAACAGAAAAGGCTATTAGCATCATTTGATCATATAAATTTGTTCCTACGGCTACCAATATCTCTGCATAACAAATTCCCTTTTAAAAAAATACATCAAGTCTAATGATAGGCCTACATAGTTTTAAACTCTCCTTACATGATGAATAACAAATGTATAATCTCTAGAAATGAGGCCTCTTATCAACTTCATTATCTAGAACAGGTTGAACACTCACCTTTGTTGTTAAACCATGATTTTTTTTAAGAATTTCATGACAATAGTCATACGTTATATTGTATTATTATAAAAAGGAAACATCAGGTGTACCCTTGGTTGCACACCTAGCCTTAAACGCCTTAATCTTGTTTACACCAACATTCCACTTCCTTTTGGATTTTTCCTTGATGTCCATGATTTTCATTTTAGGATTATCTTTCAATGAGTTCTGAATTCTCTCACTTAACCATTTTATAGTCATCATCTTCACATTGTAAGCTCTACTACATTTATGAACATCCACTACTTTTCTCAATTGCCAAGAATCTTTATTTGGTAATTTGGAACAATGGGAATTCCACTAACACCCTTCCTTAAATATAACCCTAACCCTTTGTTTGTTCTTTTTAGCAAACTTCAGGTCCCTTCCTGAATGGACTGCATGTGTAGTGATTGCTTCCATGAAATCAACCTTGGTAGCAAAATAGATCCCTAATTCCCATTTATAGTTTGTCATGTTTTTTTTGGCAATGTGAAAATAATGTATTTCTTTCAATTACATCTAGAGTCATCGTCGGTTTCACACCTACTTTCCAATTCCTCGTTATCATCCTCACTTTCAACCTCACTAAAGTCCTTTTTTATGTTTTTTTTGCTAGTACCCTAAATCTCATCACAATAACCTAATATATTTTCAGTATCCTCTTCCAATAAACCATCATAACCACTACATTTATTTGAATCATCAAATGAAACATCTAACACACTATCATAATCAAAGTTCATTATCATCATTATCATCATCAAACTTAGTACCAATGAGGTCAACATCATCTCCCTTCACCCTTTGCATTTGTCAACTCAACATCATTAGCCTCGTAATCATTAACCCCACCAACTTTAGCCTCATTCACCTCAACCCCACTAACTTCAGCCCCATTCACCTTAACCCCACCAACTTCAGCCTCATTCACTTCACCTATATTCACCTCAATCCCACCATTGACTTCACCCTCATTAACCTCACCATCATCCATCTCAACATCATTACCTCCAACAACACTCTCAGTCACCTTATCCACATTAACAACATCCTCATATAGTTTTATAATCTCATCTTCTTCATCAAGATTAACAAAATCCTCTGAGTTTGTGGTCTCTTCCTCTAAAGGGTCATCATAATAGTCAAGTTTAGAAAGAGGATGTTATACATACATATGAGCACTCAAATGCACCTTACACAAATCAACTACATCCTAAGCATCTTTATTATCAGTACTCAAAGTAAACATACCAAATGCGGAGTTCTTGTATAATATTGTTCCAGTTTCTTTATAACCTATATTTTTAATTATCCCTACCACCTTAAAATAGCTCCACTTATCTATATCACATCTCATCTCATAATTAAAATACTCAACATCTACAAATTCAACTTCATGGTTGATAAAAACATGAACAAAATTATCTATTTTTTACCTAAAAGAAAAACTACTTATTCAGAACCAACGTTAACAAATAATAATTTTTTGAAATAACACCAACACAAATTCGTAAATCCCACAAAAATTCATACACTAAAAACCATATAACTACAACACAAATTCCTAAAACTTATAGAGAATCATACAACACTAATTAAAATTTTGAATAAGAGCCAACTCATTATGGTGATCAGTATGAAAATTTAAAAATAAAGAGACCACCTCATTAAATTTGAAAAATAAATAGAGATTGATATGTAAAAACTTTTAGAGAGAACTTTAGAGAGGTATATGAGATTAATATTTTATTTTTTAATTAAGTAGCTAGTTTAGTAGTTGAAATTTATCATTTAAAATTGAATAAATAGAATGTCGCGGATTCGAATCTGAACTTTTACATAGCATATCCTTGTACAATTAATAACTGAGTTGACTTGACCGGATTACAATTAATATTTTATAAAAACAAATAATAAATACTAAATTCATAATTTTTTGCTTGAAGTTATATAATATATTTTTTAACTTCGATATTATAGTTCCTCAAATTCATTTATTTTAGAAGTTTTCTTAAAAAATCATTCAACTAAAAAAAGTTTATATGGATGAATTTGAACTACTTTCTAAATAAGTTACCTAAAACAATTGGTTCAACCAAAAACACACGTTTGTTATTAATTGAAATATTTCACACGTAAATCATAACAATGTTAGTATATAAAACTACCCTTTAAAATTTCAACAGATCGAATCACAATGTTGCCAAAAACTCGTAAATCCAGAGGGCCCCACCACCATTAAAATAACGCGTAAACGCAAAATCAAAATCAAAATCAAAGTAAACTCGTAAGTTTCTTATTGAATGTGAAATTGCCTTAAATTCTTATTATCTTCCTAATCAGTATCATCACACCACTAATTTCTATCTTCCATGTTCCACTCTCAATCAAATCTCAGCAATGGTTTTTCATCTCTATCATTGCAATGATAGCCCGAATCCTTCTCCTCAACAACAACCTTCCAACCAAACCGATCATTATATCAATAATATCCATACACTTCATATGGCTTTGATTGCCATTGCTTGCTTTGTTACCATGGTTATGGTTCTTTTAACGTTTACGATGTTCCTGAGGAGACATAACCATGAAGTTAACCGTGATAGAAGAAACATGCCTATATTGTTCGATGTCCATGGTTATAGAGATTCTCCTACTTCAGATAATGTTAACTATGATGATGATGATGATGAGAGGATTCTCGATCACCCCGTATGGTTCATTCGAACTATAGGCCTTCAGCAATCTGTGATAGATTCTATTACAGTTTTGAAATATAGGAAAAACGAAGGAGTTGTTGATGGGACAGAGTGTTCTGTTTGTCTCGGTGAGTTTCAAGAGAACGAGAGTCTCAGGATTTTGCCTAAGTGTGGCCATGCTTTTCATATTCGTTGTATCGATACTTGGCTTCGATCGCACCAGAATTGTCCATTGTGTCGGGCGCCTGTGATTGATGCTGCGGCTGCAGAGGTGAGTGTTCCAGTTACTGTTACTGACAGTGATCAGGTTGGTTCAAATGTTTCTCCGGAGAGTCTGAACCAAGGAGAGATACAAAATTTTGATAATGTAGGAGAATTTCAGGTTGTTAGAATTGACAACGATGATGATCGTGATTCTGTTGGCGTATCATCTAGTGAAAGATCGTATAAAAATAACACTGCTTAGTTTGTTAAATGGAACAGGAAATAAATTATGTGAAGAGGTCATTTTCAATGGATGGTGTTTTGTTCTACCATGTTTTTTTTGTTTTCAATTATAAACATTAGTCCATTTTCTAGTTTGAGCCTTTCCATATGATTGCTTTGTGTATACATATATATTCAGCAGAAAAATGGCAACGCAATTCATATATAAAAGTTTGAGTAAATTGGTTATCTATGCTCTGTTTCCTCTGTTTGGTAAACTTTAAATAAGAACTCCACAGCATGTATGCATCGCAAGGTTCTATGGTGTAGTGGTTAGCACTCTGGACTTTGAATCCAGCGACCTGGGTTCGACTCCCGGTAGGACCTTTTTTCTCATTCAAATATTATATTTTATTTCTTCTCATAATGAAATAGTTGTGATTTATTGGATTTGCTGCAGTTTCTATACAACAAGACAGCTTGGCCGAGTGGTCTAAGGCGCTAGAATCAGGCTCTAGTCCGAAAGGGCGTGGGTTCAAATCCCACAGCTGTCAAAAAAATTTTTTTCCTCATTTTTGCATTTTTTTCCATCTTCCAAACATTAAATTTTCTATATATGCATGATGATAATCATTTCAAAACAGACATCACATGAAAAGCATAACTATATTGAAAATTTGATATTCAAACTTCAAAGCCATCTCTTATAAATCAATATATAAAGTCTCTTAACAACCTGACCAAGTGTAAAATATCCCAGAAAAATAACAAACAAAAATCCAAAATAGGAGAGGGGTAAAACTGTGAATTCCATAACCTTTCCAATAGGAGTAAATGGGATTGCAATTCCAATTGCAGATATAACAAGAGTGGAGAAAATCACAGGCCAAGATGCAATATCTTGTATAAAAGGAATTTTCTCAGTTCTTATCAAATGAACAATGAGAGTATGCATGAGAAGACCCTCAGTGAACCAAGCTGTATGGAAAAATTTCTCATCTCCATAAGCTTTGTAATAGAACAAAAGAAACAGAAGTGTTGCAACATCACAAAAAGTGAAAACTGGTCCATTCCATAATATGAACACTGGTAACCCTCGTTCCGACCACTTATGAGGAGTTTTCAAATATTCTTCGTCCATTTTGTCCCAAGGGATAACGATTTGTCCGAGACTGTAGATGAAATTTTGCGTAAGAAGCTGTCTAGAAGTCAATGGCTCACGTTTGAGGAACAATGTTGCTATAAGAAGTGAAATGATACTACCTAAGTTAGCAATAACTGACATCTTTATATATTTCATTGTGTTGCCGAAGGTGAGACGGCCGTGCTCAACGCCCGCGACGAGCACATTAAGATCTTTCTCTAGTAAGATTATATCTGCCATGTCTTTGGCAATGGGTACACCCGAGTCCACAGAAATGCTTACATGGGCAGCATCCAATGCTAGTGAATCATTCACACCGTCTCCCAAGAATCCTACAACATGGTTTCCTATTGTCTGCAAGGACTGAACGACTCGGAGTTTCTGCGTTGGCGTGAGACGAGCTAGCACTGTTGCTCTTTTAACGGTCTCGTGGAAAGTGTCTTGATCAAGTTCTTCTAGCTCGGGTCCTGTTATAACATGAGCCGTACTTATGCCAACTTCTTTGCATACTCTTGTGGTTAATGAAAGTGAGTCACCTGTTAAAACCTTTGCTTTCACACCCTTCTCGGCTAAACACCAAAGTGCTTGCTTTGCTGAGTCCTTAGGCGGGTCAAAAAACGTTATAATGCCAAGGAGTATCATGTCTCTTTCGAAATCACTGTTGCCTCTCTTGCTTCCATTACTTGTTTCGCAAGTTTGCTGCATTTCAAGCTTCTTAATAGCTACTGCTATAACCCTTAACCCCTCATTGCTCAATTCTTCTGATAGATTTAAAATCCTCTGATAGTCATCTGAGGAGAATGTAGAAATTTCATCTTTATCAAAATTCTCAATAAAAGAACAAACTTTTATAACTTCCAACAATGCTCCTTTTGTAACCATGAACCTGCCAAAGAACTGTGAGTGCCTGTCGTCTGTTTCTAACATGACAGATACTCTTCTTCTTATGAAGTCAAAAGGAATCTCATTGATCTTCTTCCACTTAGACGGCTGAAACTTGAATCCATTTGAATATACATGTGCTAGAATTGCATCATCTAGAGGATACTTTTGCTCAGTCTTGAAGTAAGCGTTGAGGAAGGCGTAGCGTAGAACTTTTTCTCGAGGTAAACCCCTACAGTCGAGATGATTAACCAAAATAGCATGATTCAATGTAAGGCTGCCTGTCTTGTCAATACAAAGGATATCCCTGCAAAAGAAAACAAACCTCTTAATCTTATATTGCTTGCCATTTTTTGGATCTTTTGCTTTCATTCTTTGTTGATGCTGTTGCATCCTTTTATTTATTGTGTTGGTGTGCAGATTCAGGTATTGATAGACTTTAGTGCATTTTATTATAAATTGAGCAAGTCTCATATGAATTTAGCATCCAAGGCATCAATCAGTTGATGTTAAATGTGAATTTACACTTACATTGATCCCATCTCGCGTATGGTTGTTAGACTTTTTACAATACATCGGTCTTTAGCCATAGCAAGGGCTCCTTTCGCAAGGCATGTGTTAATGATGAGGGGAAGCATCTGAGGATTGAGGGCAGATGCAACTGAGATGGCAAAGAGAATACTCTTGCTCAAATCATTAGACGCAGTGTAATCTGTCACAAACATAATTGTAACAACTACTACCATAACAGAAATAAGCATGTAAAATATCCATCTGAGACCCTTTTCAAAGTCATCGGGTGGCTTCTTCTTCCCAATTTTTGAAAACATGGTGCTCATGTAAGTATTGGATCCAGTTGAAATAACTAAACCTGTTCCAGTACCTGATACCACATTTGTTCCCTGCAATATTCATAACTTAGTCACTTTTCAGAAGAAGAAAAATTATGTTATTAAGCTGACAGCTCATCAATGCCAATCCATTATGCAAATAGCTAAAGATCACTCATCAATGCCAATCCATTATGCAAATAAATATGGCAATATACCAGTAAAAAATATAAGTTTATTCCTAGCATGATGTTCTATTTATCTAATCCTCTAGTTAGGACTTTGTGAGATGCAACTTTGTGTATCTTCCGTTCCACATTTGGAGGAGGCAAAATTGATTTCAATGGTGTAGAATCGGTTTTGCCTCCAAAATTGATTTCAACTTGAAGCTAGAATTTGGAGCTTTGTCGTGAATTTATTGTTCAACTCAATTTTACTTTTACATGAATGTATATAAACATAAATCACTTAACATTCATCTTAGTTTTAGCCAAAACCAATTCATTCAAAATCAACCGTTGTCACTACTGAACTACACACACACTATATCTATAACTGCCATTGATACAAAATTGGGAGAAGGAGTTTTTTACTAACCATAAAACAAATGTTCTTTAAATCTAGTAAAGGAGTGATGTGGTCTTCTCTAACATCAGCAGTTTTATCAGTTGTCATAGATTCCCCAGTTAGTGAGGCCTGGCTGTTAAGAAGGTAATAAAATCACTATGAGATAATTAGATAGCTGAAAGGGAAATGGTAGGAAACATCTTTATAAAAGTCTCCAATCTATAAAAGAAGCAAATTTCCTATTTAATCGAAGTACCTTACAACAAGGTGTTTTGACGATAACAGCCTGACATCTCCAGGAAAGAGGTCGCCAGGTTCAAAAATCACAATGTCCCCTGGAACCACATCCTTGTGATCAACTTGAACTGTCAATTCTTTCTGCTCAATTCTACCGGCACATCTTTGAACTCTTATAGGACAGCTTAAAAATTCTGAAAGCTTCATTGCTGCTCTTGAGCTTTTGTGTTCCTAAATTCCGCAACAAAGATGTAGGATTATTAAGAACAAAAATACAAGTGAAGTGAACTATCCATTCATTGAATTTGATCAACAAACTAATGTAAAAGTACCAGACAGAAGCGAATGATGACACTGATAAAAAGCAAAATGAACATGATGAACCCGTTTGGATAGTCACGCGCAATGAATGACATTGAAGATAATACAATCAGAATCATATTGAAAGGATGAAAAAGAGCGTTCCATAGAAGATGCCACGAGTTTGGAAAAGAATACTCAAGTGGAACATTTGGTCCGTTTTCCCGCAGCCTCCTCTCAGCTTCCGTAAAACTTAAGCCTACAAAAAATTCAAGAATACCTTTAACACAAAAAGCGAAAAATAACACAAAAACAAAAAGTAGAGCGAAATGTTAAACAAAAAGGTTATTCGAATGACCGAAGCATATCCATGAACCAATTCCTAATGTTTTCATGTTCTTTTACTTGTATATAAGTGCAATTTGAATGACAGCATAAGACTTTCGATATCTCCATGACCGCAAACTAGACTACATAAGCTGCACATTTGACCACAATTCTCTGCAATATCAATGATCACAACAGCAGCCGCAATTTAAAATCTTAGTTGTACTCCAACATCATTCTTTTCCTTTCATATTTCTTTCAATGAGGAAATTTGTCAAACACTTAAGAAGCAACACGTAAAAATTACAAAATCAAAGTCCATTGAAAAAGTAGTAGTACTAGTAGTAGAATCCAGATACTTGCCTCTTTCAGTTGACCTAACATACTCAAAGACCATGTTTTTCTCAGACTGAGCCAAGGTGTATAACCAAGAGTAAACTTTCTCTTCTTCCTCAGTTCGTGATCCTCCATCAACTTTTCCTACAAATGAACACAACCCAGATAAGTGAAACACCAAAAAAACAAACTTTAGAACAAAAAACACAAACATAGAAGAATGTAAGCATACTTGTGTAGATAAAGCGTTGAAAAAATTTGAAGAGAGAAAAGGGAAAAGAATCTTTGTGTGAATAGGGTTTGTTGACAAGAGTTTGGTTAATGGTGTTGGAAAGAGGAAGAGTGTAGTGATGGTTGTTATTGGAAGAGAAAAGAGTGGAAACTTTGGTTCTTCCCATAGGATGATTGAAATAATAATGGAGGAGGAAGAGATTATGAATGTTGTACCTAAATGAGAATGGATATTTGAATGGAAGGTAAAGAAGATAAAAATTTGAGTATGCATTTTGTGTTTGTTTGATGTTAGTTACTTACTTGCCTTGCTTGACGACTCTAACTACCATAACACTGACCGGCAGTTAAGGTGAGTCTACTTTTGTCTACTTTTAATAACATCAAAAATTGATTTCTACCACAATTACCTACCCCAAATCGTCATTTTGCATCCTAATCCTTTCATAATTACATGCATTTTTTATTAATATTTTTTTCAATCAAATATATTTTCAAAGCAAACAAAGCCCTTAATCTCAATTGTCTTCATATCTTTTTAAACGTAGCTTATGAGTTATAAGCTAGTGTTGTAATAAACTCTGTCGAAGTCGAAGAGTTTTGTCGACGTCGAAAAGTTAGTGTACCTGTCGAAATATATTACTTTATTGTTTAAGTTAGCATGTTGAATTGAGCCAATCTATTAGGCCAATTGTATAGGATGTTAGTTGAAAGCAATGATTTAGTTTTCTTTTAAATAACATATTAGTCATTACTTCTCCTTGAATCCTTGATAGCCCTAATTAAGGAAGAAAGTGGTATGGTTAAGATTTAATTATAAACATTGTTCCTTAATGTGTAATTGAATCAAGAATTCAGTTTATTTTTAACCACTTTGAATTGTCTTTCTCTCCTCTTCTCTCTTTTCCTTTACTTTGTGATTTTCTTGTTAACTAATAAATTGATCTTACTCTACTTTCTAGGCATCGCTTTCACAACAAATTAGTGTGGTGAGCGTGGAGGAGAAGATGTCGTCAGCAAATTATAAAATTGAGAAATCACCAGTATGAATGATTGTGGTTAGTGGCGCTTGAAGATGTAAGCTCTGCTGGTTCAACATGGTTTGTTTGAAGCGTTGAAAGGATCAAAGAAGATGTGTGATTCCCTAACGGAGAAGGTGATGATGAACGAGAAAGCCCATAGTGACATCATATTGAGCTTTGGTGCTAAGGTTCTCCGACATGTTTCAAAGGAGAAAACTGCAGCGGGTGTGTGAAGCAAACTCGAGAGTTCGTATCTGACAAAATATTTAGTTAATCGTCTCTACCTGAAGCAAGCTTTGTATTTATTCAAGATGAGTGAAGACAAAGTCTTGGCTTATCAGCTGGATATGTTCAAAAAGTTGATTCTTGATCTTGAAAATATTGAGGTTAATATTGATGATGAAGATCAAATGTTGATGTTGTTGTGTGCTTTATCAAGATCTCATGCTCACTTCAAAAAAAACCTCTTGCATGGAAGAATGTTTTTAGCCTTTGAAGAAGTCAATAAGCCTTGTATTCAAAGGACTTGAATAAAAAAAAGGAGCACAAGTCATCGTATTTTGGTGAAGGTTTGTTCATTAAAGGGGAATTTTTGAAGAAATATGGTAGGTGTGAGAAGAAGAAGGGTAAAGTTCTACAAAATTCTTATGGTGGTAATGCTCCTGCAATTAGGTGTTATCATTGTAAGAAGGATGGTCATACAAGAAAGATGTGCCCTGGACGTCTGAATAATCAGGGTGGGAAGGATAATGGTAATGCAACCATTGTGCGAGATGATTATGAATCACCTGATGTCTTGGTGGTTTCAAGCAACGACTTTAGCAAGGAATAGATTATGGATTTAGGTTGTACGTGGCACATGACTCCAAACAAAGACATGTTTGAGAAATTATGTGATCAAGATGGTGGATTGATGGTTGCAGTATTCAACATCAAAAGTAAGTATTTGTTTATTGTATCCACAGGGTCTGGTGCAATATTAATGTCGTTCAATAGTTAATACAATTTTAAATAATTGTCAAGTTGTTTGCTTGTAAAAAGTGAGATAAAAGTAAAGACGGTAATTGATTAAAATAACACAGATATAACAAATTGTTGGGATTGGGATTCATTCACCAGTTAAGCACATATTCTTCTTATCTGTTATATAAAGATTAGTTTTTTTTATCAATATTATCATGTATCACTCGCCGATAGTGTTTATGTCTAAATCCTGACAAGAGTTCAATTGTATTGCTTAATTGACGATCTCTTAATAATATATCTACGTCTAGAGTTTAGAGCTACCAAATGATCATTATAGATCGAGATTCTAAGAGTGTTTCTCAATAACAGTTCAAATCTATAAGGTAAATAAGTAAATGAGGATAACATCAATATCAATAAAAAAACTAACTCATATATAACGTCGTGGTCATAATAAATACATACTGTTAAGGTGAACTGCATCCAATCCCAACGAGTAAGGAAATTTAGCTACTCATTTTCATGGTAGCTTTGATTACAAAAGAAAAGAAATAAAGATGGATGAGCATCAATGGTGATTTCCCGATGATAGATGCGTATCTAACTCGTATTCCTCAAGTTTCACTTTTCTCTTTGTCTTACTTTCTCTGATGGTGTATCTCTCTCCAATTTCCCAAAAGTCTCCCTCAACTGAATATTTCTGAAACTATTTATAGTAGTTGTTCCCTATTGCTCTCTCCTTGCGATTTGTTGCCTCGCCTGGTGAGCAACACTTCATCACCCTGAAGTATCTTCCACATCAGCATCTCAAACCACCGTGTCTCGCTTGGTGAGCAAAAGGCTCTTCTGGCGTGCTTCCTCGTCATGGCTTCGCCAGGCAAGAATGACACTTTTTTATTCTAGAAAGTCTATAACTTATGTCGTCTGGTGTTCAATGGAGTTTTGTTGGGCGAGATGGCTCGCTTAAGGTTCGCTATGCGAAAAGGAGGATTTTTGCTTCTCTTTCTCCACGCTTGAGTCTTGATGGAGGCTTGCATGTCGAACTTGCATATTCTTTTCTTTCTTGGTTTGTGTTCCAATCTTTGTCTAAGTGTGAAATTTCTACACTCAAGCAAAGAATTCAAAAAGTACAACGCTATCTTGTTCAAACTTTATCCCATTCACAAATTTGGGGGTTTTAACAATAAAATCGCTAAACTAAGCCAATAAATGCCAATATTTAATGTGGTCAAATACCATATTTTGGCACTTATCATGGATCAGTGATGTTGGGAAACAATATAGCCTTCAAGATTGCAGGAATTTGATCTGTCAAATTCAAACTCCGTAATGAGTCAATAAGACTATTTACTGATGTCAATTATGTACCTAATCTTAAGAGGAATTTGATTTATCTTGGTGAATTCGACAAGAAAGGATGTGTTTTAAATGGAGAGTAAAGTATCCTAAGGATAATGAAGGGGTAAAAGGAAGTATTGAAAGGCATAAATAGGCAAGGCATGTATACCTTTGAGGCTGAGGTTGTAAGTGGTTCAGCAGATGTGACATCCATAAAACCTGTGTCAAAGATTAAGCTATGGAACAAGATACTTGACCATGTTCGTGAAAGAGGTATGGTCAAATTCTTGAAACAAAATTTTATATGTGGCGACAAGGTAAAAAAATTGGAGTTTTGCGAACCTTTTGTATTTGGTAAATCGTGTAGGGTGTAGTTTAACAAAGGTAAACAAAGAACATATGGATCCATTGATTACATTTGTGTTAATCTTTGGGGTCCTGCAAGAGTTCTTTCACACTTAAGTGCAAGATATTTTCTATCTATAGTTGATTATTACTCACGAAAGTTATGGGTACTTATTCAGAAAGCTAAGGATGAAACTTCTGAAAATTTCAAAAGTTTGAAGACTCTGGTCGAGAGGTTGAGGACCGACAATGGTATTTAATTTTTCAATAAGGCTTTCGGAAACTATTGTGTTGTGTTTGGTATTTCAAGACACATAACTACTACAGGTACTCCTCAAAAAAATGGTTTGGCTAAATAGTTTAATCAAACCGCTCTAGAAAGAATGAGGTGCATGTTGGTTAGTACGAGTTCAAAGAAAGTGTTATGGGTTGAGGCAATCATGAATGTAACTTACCTGACAAATAGATGTCCCTTGACTACTTTGGGAATGAAAACACCTAAAGAAGTTTGGTAGGGACATCCACATAATCTCGACAGACTTAGAATATTTGGTTGTGTAGCATATGCTCTCATTAGGCAAGAAAAGTTCGAACCTAGGGCTCTGAGATGTATATTCCTTGGATACCCTGAAAGAGTCAAAGCTTATAGGTTATGGTGCCTAGAGCAAGGTCATATGAGGTGTATCACAAGTTAAGATTTATTTTTCAATGAATCTGAGATGGCTTTCAAGAAAATTGATGACGTTAGTAGAAGTACGGAGATCTCTGGAGATGAGTTGGAACAAAAAGAGACTTTTGTTGAGGTGGAGCGTAGTGATACTGAATTGCATAAATTAAATGAAGTAGAAGAAGAATATCATTTTGTTAATGAAGATAAGAATACTAATAATAACTACCTGCTGGCAAAAGATAGGACAAGAAGAGTCATCAAGCCACCTCAGAGACTTGGTTATGTAGATCTCATAGCTTTTTCCTTAATATCTATAAGTGAGGTTCTTGATGAAGAACCTAGAGACTACAAGGAAGTTGTGAGGAGTTGAAATAAGATTGAATGGCTAAAAGACATGGATGGTAAGATGAAATCTCTTTATGATAATAACACTTGGGAGCTGATCGAGAAACCTTATGGTGCCAAGTTAGTCAGTTGTAAGTGGATTTTCAAGGTTAAGGAATGAATCAAAGGAGTGATGTTGAAGCGATATAAGGCAATGTTGGTTATTGGGAGGTTCACTCTGAAAAAAGGTGTAGACTTCAATGATGTGTTATCACTTGTTGTAAAGCACATATCCATTAAAATATTGTTAACCAGGGTGGCAAAGTTCAACTTAGAACTTGAACAGATGGATGTAAAGACAACCTTCCTGTATGGTGATCTAGATGAAACAATCCTGACGAGGTAACCTGAAGAGTATGTAGAAAAAGGAAATAAATATTATGTGTGCAAGTTGAATAGGTCATCATATGGTTTGAAATAATCTCCTCGGCAATGGAATAAG